CTTACTTTTTATAAAGCTATGGTAAAGCAATACAATACCTATGAAAACTGAACATTTTTAGATTCAACTAAACTTACTTTTTATAAAGCTATGGTAAAGCAATACAATACCTATGAAAACTGAACATTTTTAGATTCAACTAAACTTACTTTTTATAAAGCTATGGTAAAGCAATACAATACCTATGAAAACTGAACATTTTTTGCACATGTCTAATTTCATGGTTTCCTCGCAACAAAAAAAATCTGTCAGGTGCAAGAATCTTCTGTGAAAATAGGTATGCTACAACCTGTAAAAAATAATGATCTTTTTGGAAAAACATAATTAAACAAAATTAAAATACATGTAACCTAATCATTTACACCAATCCTTTCTCAAAATTTAGAAAACAAGACATGTAACCTCAATAACCTCCTCTAATGAAAACAAACCTACCTCCACACCAAACTCTCCTCGGTCAATGTAATCTCCCAGAAATAAGAAATTTGATGGGGTTAATAAAGGGCCCATTCTCCACAAGGCTTTCTCAAAACAGACTAAATCCCTGAAATTTCCATGGATGTCCCCTGAAACAAAACACTTCCTTCTGTTACAAGTCTTGTTATAATTATCTCCGAAAATAGATAGATAACATTTCTTTATTTTGAAGACTAAAAATTTTTATTTAAAAAACATTCAATAGCTTTTTTCACAGGTACTTTGGTGAACATTGACACAACATCAAATGACACCAAAATATCTTTTTGATCTAAAACTATATACTCAATTCTTTCCACAAATTCAAACGAATTCTTAACTGTGTATTTATTTTCATCCCTTTTCCAGTCGCATCGGGGATTTTACCACTTTTTAACCTTGTACGGTAAGTTATTATTTTAATAATTTGGAGACTGGAAACAATATTACCTTATTGAATTGTTTATAAAATAATCATTGTTTTTTTAAATAAAATTTTTTAGTTTTCAAAATTGAACATTACACACGTGCCAAAAAACATTTCTTTATATTAAGTCTTGCTGATGATTTTCTCTTGAAACAGAACACTTTCTTCTATTATAAGTCTTGCTGATGATTTTCTCTTGAAACAGAACACTTTCTTCTATTATA